AGTTTTCTCATCTGTCTAATAAGAGATGCCCCTCCCTCCCCCATGAGGATTGAAGCGCCTGAGACTCATTGTCCCCAGCATTCCATCACATAGATCCCATAAGTATGGCCTTTGAGTTTCCTGGGACTGCCCGTCACAGGGAGCAGTTTGTGGGATCAGGGGAGAGTGGAGAAGCTTCATCTCTGAGGGAACAAACAGGGAGAAAGGATGCTCCCATCCACTCACCCATCCATCTGCTTTGCAGATACTTCCAAAGTGCCTTTGATGGATTATTTGTCTTGTTCACGACAGTGCTTGGCATGTTCTAGGTGTTCAGTAGTGTTTGTTTGAATGGCTGGATGCATGTGCAAAACTCCATTCCCTTCAGAAATTCAGAAGCTGTAGCCCTGAGGAGTGTACAGCATTGAGTTCAGCATGAAGCAAGCATCCAGTAGGATCCTGGGGAGACTAATGGAGAGGACCAACAGCCTAACCCGTTTGCAGAGCCCTTACTGTATGCCCGGGCACCCTGAGGAGCCGAGCACCTGGGTGTGAGCTCTCAATGCTCATGGCAGCCCCACAGGGAGAATGCTGTGATTCATATTCTAGGAGAGCACATAAGCGCGAGTCTAGACCAGGACCACACAGACTTGGGCAGGCCTGCTGTTTGAACTGCTACTATGTCACTGCAGGACTTTTAAACCATGCTGTCAGGTGGCTAGCCCCAGATTTCTTCCCCATTGGGGCAGGTAAATCATCCACATTCCCTGAGCTGGAGAAGGAAGATAGACAGCAGCTCTGCCTCCCCTTGAAGGTCCCCTTGTGGTGTGGCTGAGGGGGCCCAGAGACATTTTCAGACCTTCCCAGGCATTCCAGTGTTCAGCCAGAGTTGAGACCACCAGTCTAAGCCAATCCATAGCTAGCAGTGCTGACTGCTTTGCCGGCTAGTGAAGGGTTGTGCGCTGGAAGAACGGGCTGAGTGCTCCGCCGAGGCTGCCCAGTCCTCCGCAGAGGCTGCTGGGCGCGTGCGTGCTGTGGGGAGCCGTGAGGACAAATTCTGGCTTGGCGATGGTGAGAGGGAGCGCTTGGAAGAATGAGCTGGCAACGGGGAGAGATGTTGGGGATAATTTAGAGTCTTGTTTCACAGTTCTCTGCCTTAGGCCTGTTTTGTTTCAAAAGCTTTCAACCAAACAGTTGAAAGGTCCCTCCTCGACTCTCGTGCCCAGCCAAGTGAGGAAAGCGGAGCCCATTACACGAGAGAGCTTCAAAGGATTCGCAGAGCAACTCAGCAGGAGTTGCAAATAAGTGGAAGCAACTGAGTTGGCCAGGATCAGGAACTTGCCAGAAATGGTTCACTGGGAAAGCTTTAGGGAAGATAAATGTGTATGTGAGGCAGGGGGTGTTTCTGTTGCCAGTACTGGGGCTTGAACTCAGGGCCTAGGCACTGTCCTTTAGTTTTTCACTCGAGGCTCGTGCTCTACCACTTGAAATACAGCTCTCCTTCAGCTTTTTGATGGTTCATTAGAAATAAGAGCCTCACGGACTTTTCCTACCTGGGCTGGCTTTGAATCACAATCCTCAGATCTCAGCCTCCTGAGTAGCTAGGATTTCAGGCGTGAGCCACTAGCACCTGGCTGGGAAGACAGTTTTGAGCCAGATTTGGAGAGAGGCTGGAAGGAGAGGAGTATGTGAGTCCAGTGTGAGTGTGAAGAACACGTGTGTGTGTGTGTACATGTGTGTGTACACATGTGTGGGGAGAAGAATGGTGAGGTATTCCAGAGAGAATGGGATTAGGGTGGGGGGAGAAAATCTTCCTAAGCACTCAGCTGGAAAGGGCTAAGTCTGCAGGCAGGGTGATGAGGGAGACAGGTAGGACATCGGGGAAGACTGCAAAAGCCCTGGGCTGAAGGGTCTGAGGTCTCCAGCTTTGCTGGGTGCTGCTTCACGGGCCCCTGTAGTACAGGGAGCGTTGACTGGGAGGAAGAGGGAAGAACTGGGAGCCCAGGGAACCTTGATGCAGGCCCTAGTGAAGCATCCGCAGATTCGAGGGGCTTCTGTGTAAATCTCGATGCCTCTGGGCCTTGCCAAGGCTACCCTCTACTTAGAAGTAGAGCAGTGCTGTTCACCGATTGTCCTGTCCACCAACATAGCCACTGGCCACATGTGTCTATGGAGCATTAGGCCTATGGCTGGTTGTGAACTGAGGAGCTGTGTTTTAAGTTAAAATTTTAAATAGTTACCTGTGGCTGGTGGCTGGTGTCTGTTGCGGTGAATGGGTCCGTGCTCCAGCTTCATCGTCAGAGCTGGCCGTTTCATAGTATCCATCCCAGGCTTTCTGCATCTGGGACCTGCTGTCTATCTCTTGTCTCCTTTATTAGGCAGTTGACACAAGTTAATCTCATCAACTGCTCACACCTCCTATAGAGAGGTACCGTCATCCTCATTTTAAAGGAGAGGAGCTGGGCATGGAGGCACAAGAGTGTAATCGAGCTACTAAAGAGACACAGGAGGAGGATCAAAGCCTGAGACCAGCCCTAGGCAGAAGCATAAAATCCTGCCTGAGAAGTAAGGGCGTGGCTCATTCTGGAGCACCTGCCTAGCCAACACGAGGCCTGAGATCCAAAACGTAAATAAAAATTAAAAATGAAGGGAAGGAGATTAAAAGAGAAGAAAGGCTTCCCTAGAGAGTGGTAAAGCTGGAGTTTTAGCTGGGAGTGAGTTTTTAATCAGTGCAATCTCATATTAAAGAATAGCCGGTTTAAGCCAGGCGCCGGTGGCTCATACCTGCAATCCTAGCTACTCAGCAGGCTGAGATCTGAGGATCACGGTTCAAAGCCAGCTCGGGCAGGAAACTCTGTGAGACTCTTATCTCCAATAAACTACTCAGAAAAAGCTGGAAGTGGTGCTCTGGCTCAAGTGGTAGAGTGCTAGCCTTGCATATAGAGAGCTCAGGGATAAAGCCCAGGCCTAAGTTCAAGTCCCAGGATTGGGAGGGGGGGGGGGAGAATCAAATACCTACCCAGGCAAGCCCCAGTGTTCAAGCTCCAGTACCATCACATACACACACCCACGCCCATGTAAATATGTACATACACATATGCGTACACAGTTATGTATGTGTGTATATATATGTATTTAGTACCTTAAGGATTTGGATTTATTCAGTCTAGCATAAGGCCTGGGAATCTACATTTTAAGAAAGCCCCACCAATTTTACAGCCCACAGACCTCAGTTGGAAGTCAGAGTGGCTTGGTTTCTAAGCCTATGTCTGTTACAGGCGGGATGCTACTTGCGCAGTCCTTGATTTCCTCATCCACTTGTAGAAACAGATCTTCCTCACACCTTCCCGGGTCACGCAGGTTCTTAACCCTGGTTACACAGCAGTGTTACCCGGAAGCTTCAGGGAAAAAAAATACTGAATGCAACGCGAGGCTCCAGCCCAGGCTGGCTGGCCAGAATGTGGGGACTTGGGCATCCCTGGGGGAAGCAGTCTCTGATATGCAGCCAGGGTTGGGGATACCCTTACCTTATCTCTGAGGCCCAGGGCAGACTTCACATCTTGTCCATACCTGTTAACTTGTCTCTCCTTTTGGCTGGGCGGAGTCACCTGGAGTCACCCCCAATATGTCTTTCACAAACTCCGTTTCAAATGAGCAAAACATTCTTCTTTATTCACTTCAGCTTCACAGGAACCATACTTTTGCCCTAGAGTTCAGAATCTTTGGCTCAAAGACGCTTTCCTAGGACCTTTTTTAACTAGCCTCACTCTCATGCCAGGTCTGGGGAGGACTCTTTCTTTGGTGTAGCCGTGGGTCCCACAGAAGCTGAGGTGGTGGAGGGCTGGGCTTGCATGCTCAGCTGAGGCAGAGAGGGCTGCACTTAGCATGCTGGGCTTCAGGTGGCTGGTGCTCACTCCTGCGAGGTCCTACTCCCTCTACAGCTGTTGGCAGCTCAGGGATCAAGGAAAATCCGGGGTCGAACTTTATTCCTACATGTTAAATTGAGATCCCTTTGTACAACTACTTAAAGATCATAATGATGATGTTAACAATAAAAAGAACTTTGTTCCTCTAAAATTTCTGGGTGCCAGGGTGGCAGATAAAGGGGCAGGCCTTGTTTTTGTTTATTTGTTCTTCTGAGATAATCTTAATAGGTAGCTCAGGCTGACCTCAACACTGGAGATCCTCCTGCCTCAGATTCCTGAGTGCTGGATTACAGACATTCGCCATTGTGCCCTATAGCAACAGGCCTGTTCTAAAGCAGAATTCTGAGGCAAATGAGGAGCCCAGTAATGCCAATCTCCCTTTCTTCATTCTTTAATTACCAGTGACCATTAGACACTTCTACCTTCTGAAGGTCACTACCCCCATGCCACTTCTTCCTCTTCTTCCTCCTCTTCCTCCTCCTCCTGGTGGTGGTCATGGGGCTTGAACTCAAACTTGGGCTCTATCCCTGAGCGATTTTGCTCAAGACTAGTGCTCTACCACTTTGAGCCACAGCTCCACTTCTCATTTTTGAGTGGTTAATTGGGGAGTTTTCTGCCCGAGCTGGCTTCGAACTGTGATCCTCAGATCACTCCTGAGTAGCTAGGGTTACAGTTGTGAGCCACCTGCTGCTGGCTAAATCTGCTCCTGAGGAAGTAAACCAATTCACACTAGGTTGATGGTTTCTAATCATGTTAAGTATGTTAGCCAGTCCTGAGGGGTTTTGTTTGTTTTGAAGTCAGGGGAGTGCTCCAAATGACAGTTTAGTTGTCACTTGGGATTAGGCATGCGTGAGGACAGTGGGGGTTCTTTCTGAATTCCTGAAATTACAGTCTGCTCTCTGGGAAAAAGCAAAGGGCTGTGGGAGGAGGCTGGCTCTGTTTAGAGAAGAGAGTATTTTACCCACCTTCAAGCCCCACCCCCATGAGGACAGGGAGGAGGTGGCTAAGGTGGTAGGCTGCTAAAGGCCTGAGTCCAAATCCCCAGCATGGTGGGTAGGAAGGGGAGATTTATGTACCCCATTCTGCCTCTGTCAGATGTGGATGAGTGTGTGGAGGGGACTGACCACTGCCACATTGATGCCATCTGCCAGAACACTCCGCGGTCCTACAAGTGCATCTGCAAGTCCGGCTACACGGGAGATGGCAAGCACTGCAAAGGTGAGGTGGGCAGGGGGGCAGGGGCAGAGCAGGGGCACCACTGCCACAGCCTTGTGCTCACCATACTACAGGACCCTAAAGCCTGCAACCCCCTCTGGCCAAGGGTGTGGAGGAAAGGGTCTGCATCTTCTCCTAGAAAGCACGGAGTTCTAATTCACACCAGAGCAAATCCACCATTGAGGCCCTGGTGGAATAGTACACAGCCATGCAGCTGGCTGGGGTGAGCTGAAGCCTTTACCATTAGATAGAGACAGACAGTGTGCCCTAGGGGAAATGCCCCTGCACTTGCGCGCGCGCGCGCACACACACACACACTCATCCTTCTTTCCCTGATCATTAAAGCAATACACACTAATGTAGCCTTGGGATATTATTTAAAAATTATGGAGTATCGGTGGGACTTCAGTGGATATATTTGCTAATTCCTGCTGGCATTGCTTGGTGTCTGGGGAGAGAGGAACTGGTTCCAAAAGGTTATCAGAATTAGAGAATACCTAAGTCCTTGATACAAAATGGCATAGTTTTTGGATATTATTTACATAATCCTCCTGTAGACTTTAAATCATCTCTAGATTATTTACATTACCTAGGTTATAGAAATATCTGGCATACTGTATTGTTTAGGGAATAATGACAAAAAATCTGTACATGTTCAGTAGAGACATAATCTCTAATTTGAATTTTTTTTTTTTTGGTCAGTCATGGGGCTTGAACTCTGGGCCTGGCACTGTCCTTCAGCTCTGCAGCTCAAGGCTAGTGCTCTACCACTTGAGCTACAGCACCACTTCCAGTTTTCTGATGGTTTACTGGAGATATAGAGTCTCACAGTCTTTCCTGCCCGGGCTGGCTTTGAACCACAGTTCTCAGATCTCAGCCTCCTGAGTAGCTAGGATTACAGGCGTGAGCCACTAGTGCCCAGCTCTGAATATTTTCAACTCATGGTTAAGTGAATCCGTATGGAGACCATGGATACAGACAGCTAACCTGGCAGGAACCGTAACAAAGGTTTTACCTTTTGACTGAGATTTCATTTTACCCTTTGGGACTCATTCAAAGGAAATTGAGCTGGACTCCAGTAGTTCATATCTGTAATCCTGGCTACTCAGGAGGCTGAGATCTGAGGATTATGGTTTGAAGCGAGCCCAAGCAGGGACAGTTAGTGAGACTCTTATTTCCAATTAATCTCTATCACTTGAGCTGTGGCTCAAGTGGTAGAGCACTACCTTTGAGCAAAACAAAAAAAAGGCTGAGATAATGCCCAGGCCCTGAATTCAAGCCCCAAGACTGGTACCAAAATCACAAATAAAAAATCCCCAGCAAAATGGCTTATAGACTATGAAGGTAATTGTACACACACACACACACACACACACACACACACACACACACACACACACACACACACACACACACACACACACACACACATTTTTTAAAGCAGCCACAAGGCTGAGCCCAGGGGCCAACAGCAAGGTACACTGGTGGGCTTAGCTGTCTCCACTTCTTGTTGCCCACAGATGTGGATGAGTGTGAACGAGAGGACAACGCAGGCTGTGTGCATGACTGTGTCAACATCCCTGGGAACTACCGCTGCACCTGCTATGATGGGTTCCACCTGGCGCACGATGGACACAACTGCCTAGGTGAGCGAGGGGGCAGCACTGCTGAACGGGTGTCTTGTTGGGCAGCACTGCTGAACGGGTGTCTTGTTGGGCAGCACTGCTGAACGGGTGTCTTGTTGGGCAGCACTGCTGAACCGGTGTCTTGTTGGGCAGCACTGCTGAACGGGTGTCTTGTTGGGCAGTACTGCTGAACGGGTATCTTGTTGGGAAGGAGCTGGCTTCAGCATTTCCCAGACAAGAAGGAGAAGTGTTCAAAAAGTATTCCTCCAAGAGAACAAGGTCTGGCTGGTGAGGACACCCCTATATCTGGAAAAAGACACCAGGAGAGATGCTGCTAGAAGTACCACAGGGCAAGGGCCAGGAGAGGAGAAGAGTAGGTTTGGCCTTATTGGGTAATGCAGGGTGGGAATCTGACTTGGTTCCCGATAGATCTTGATTCTGCCACTTGCTGCCTGTGCAGCCTTGGGTGAGTGAGCTAGTCTTTAGGACTCTCAGCTTCTCTGTCTCTGAAGTGGACGTGGTAATAACCTGCTCAAAGGCTGATGGGTAGAGCATCTCAAGAGGTGTGAAGAGCCCTGTAAAATGCTCGGCATCTGACAGATGTGATCAACAGGAATGGCGAGGATAAGGATGAGAGGCTTCCCTGGCTCTTACAGGCTGGTTTCCTCCCAGCTCTTCCTGTGTTCTCCACTCTCACCTTCTCCACACTCCTGTGGCTTTAGGCTGACCTGATCTCCTTTGTCCTGGCACCTGGATCTGATGTACGGCATCTCTAGGGGACTGAACTCCCTCACCTTTGGTCTCTGTCATTTTGGAAGATTACTACAATCAATTAAATTCTTCCCCAAGCAGAGTATCTGGAGCCCATAGCAGAAAAGGGTTTGAGATTTGAACCGTCTCTCAAACTCTCTCTGGTGTCAAAATAGAAACAGGACACTGGAAGCATAGAACAGAAAATGAAGAGACGCCAGAAGCAGAGATGCCTCAAATCAGCCTGGGCCCCACCCAACCTCACTAAAGCAGATTGATGACTTGTCCAAGGCCCTGCTTACCCAGGAACCTCCTGAATACCCAGCAGCTTCTAAGCGCCACACCCATCCTGGGACTCAGGCCTCCAGTCCCTCCTGGTCCCTTCCCAGCATGGCCATCTCCCCTGCTACTTCAGCCCCTCCCCTCCCTAGTCACCCCAAGGGGACTCTTGTGAGACTCTTTCAGGAAGAGAAGCTGGGGCACTGGAATAGGACAGGGAGTACTCACAGAACTGGGAACATCAGCATTGAGTTCTTTAGTTTCCTTTGACCTTTGGAAACACCGGATTTCTCATCAGATCCCATGTTTTCAGGAGAAGCAGCAAGAGGGAAAGAGAAGGAATCAGTATGGAAAGGAGCAGGTCAGAGGTCTTTCTTGACCACCTTGAAAAAGCTGTGTATGCTGTAAGCCTCAATTTCCCCATGGAGACCTGGAAGAAAGAACTTGGCTAGAATATCATAGCCTGTACAAGGTTGGAACAGAAGGAAGAAAAATAGAATGTAGGGTGAGATAGAGTAGGAATAGAGGGCTGGGGTGTAGCAAGTGATAGGTAGAAACAAAGACTCCACATGGAAAACACACTCTGCAGCTTTTCTAACAGGTACACTTCTTAGGGAAGAGCCAACTAGATCTGAATCCCTTCTGTCCTTGGCCAGAAAAGGAAGACCGGGTTCTAGGCTTCAGCAAGGAGGATGGGGAGAGAGGGTAGATGAGGCCCTCAGAGCCCAGATTCTCACTGCTCCTTTGGCCTCCAGTCTTTCCTGCCTTCTGGGTCAAGTCAAACAGAGGAACTGTGGATGTGGGAGGGAAGGAGCTGGCATGGAGACGGAATCAAAGTGTTGAAGTGGGAGCCCCAGGATGAGCTTGGCTGTGGGACTTGGGGAATGGTGATTTCTGGGACCTCTTTACCCTCTGCCATCTAGGGTGTAGTCTGGCAGCTCTCTCTCCCCCCTCCTCTCTGCCAAAACGGCCAGACTTTGTTTTGTTAAACCAAAAATAGGAGAAAAGCTAAGCAATATGGCAGCAAGCCAAGGCATGGGGAGGAGGGGAAGGGTAGAGCTATAGCCTGTCCACAGAAACAGTCCCTGTCCCAAGAGGAGACATCATGGGGTGAGACTCAGCTGCCATCCTCTGTGCTCTTTCCTATAACCTCAGCACCATGGCCATAGCTCTAATGACAGGGCCATATCCTGGCTGCTCATTGTAACCAGCCACTACCTCCCCCCCCCCCCCACGCTTACCTCTTCCCAATAGATGTGACCCCAATCATCCTCTTGCCCTGGTTCCTTCCCCGATCTCTGCCCTCAGACCCAGTTTCTACCCTGAGGGCCAGGAAGGCAAGTCATCACCAAATGTCTCCTGAGGTCTACTGCTTCGTTCCCAGCTCTGGCCTGTTCACACTTAGGAATATTAGCTGACGATCGAGTGAGAACTGCCTAGCCAAGCTGGGAATGTGACTTAGTGGTAGAGTGCTTGCCTAGCATGTATGAAGCCCTGGGTTTGATTCCTCAGTCCCATATACACAGAAAAAGCCAGACGTAGCGCTGCTGTGGCTCAAGTGGTAGAGTGCTAGCCTCGAGCACAAACAGGCTCAGGGACAGTGCCCAGGCCCTGGGTTCAAGCCCTAAGATTGGCAAAAAGAAAGGAAAGGGAAGGAAGGAAGGAAGGAAGGAAGGAGAGAGAGAAAGAAAGAAGGAAAGAAAGAAAGAAAGGAAGGAAGGAAGGAAGGAAGGAAGGAAAGAAAGAAAGAAAGAAAGGAAAGAAAAGAAAGAAGGAAGGAAGGAGAGAGAGAAAAAAAGAAAGAAAGAGAACACTGCCTAGTCTAAGGCGGGACTTAGGTGGAGGGGGAGTTGAGTTGGTGACTACACCCCATGGACCCACCAATCACTTGTCTTGCGCAGATGTGGATGAGTGTGCGGAAGGCAATGGCGGCTGTCAGCAGAGTTGTGTCAACATGATGGGCAGCTACGAGTGTCACTGCCGGGAGGGCTTCTTCCTCAGCGACAACCAGCACACCTGCATCCAGCGGCCCGAAGGTCAGCCCGTCCCCCACTCCCCTGCCCTTCCCGAACTCTGCCACCTCCTCCTTGTCCAGCCCACAACTCTGAAACCCCAAGGCCTCCCTGGACAGAGAAACATCTGGTGAAATTGGTTTGGGATGGGGGCTGTAGGGGTTAGAGCTACTTTGGGGTGTTCTCTAGCACAGCCCTGAGACTCCCACTTCTGTGAAAGAGTTCACCCAAGTATCCTCTGTGACCTGGACCAAGAAGGCCGGGTGGAAGAGTTGGGGTATTTGTTGTCTGTTTCTGTGGCTCAGCATATGCTCAGCATGCTGCCCTAGTGTGTGGCCAGAACTAAACAGTGTTTGTGGCATCATGATTATCTGTACCAATGACTTCTTCCTCACAGTGTGGATTTGATGGCTGTTTCTCTTCCCAGGCTTGAGTGTAAGCCCTTTGAGAGAAGAGATCATGGGCTGGGAATGTGGCTCAGTGGTAGAGTGCTTGCCTAGCATGCAAGAAAGCCCTGGGTTCAATTCCTTAGCACCACATAAGCAGAAAAAGGCAGAAGTGGTGCTGTGGCTCAAGTGGTAGAGTGCTAGCCTTGAGAAAAAGAAGCCCAGGGACAGTGCCTAGGCCCTGAGTTCAAGCCCCAGGTCTGGCAAAAAAAAAAAAAAAAAAAATGCCAAGAGAGAAGAGAATCATTTCTTAGATGTTTCTAGATCTTTCCTTATTCCCAAATTCCTAGCATAGTGCTGGACAAGTCTTAGACACAGTGTGGGCTGTTGGAAAGATAGGGAACCCATGTTCTTTCAGGTGGCTATTAGCACTCATGAAGCCATCACGCAAAATAGCACGGCACCCTGCTTCCTGGCACTCAGCTCTGTGGGCCAGACTGGAAGCCTGGGATGGGCAGATGGGAAAAGATATGCCCTTCTCTGGGTTGCAACCTTGCCACCTCCTCCACTCCTCCCCATTTCCCAGGTCTCCTCTTTGTTCTAATCCATCTAGGCCTCCAGGGTACAAACAGCATCTTCTCTTCCCTTTTAGAAGGAATGAACTGCATGAACAAGAACCATGGCTGCGCCCACATTTGCCGCGAGACCCCCAAGGGGGGTATTGCCTGTGAATGCCGCCCTGGCTTCGAGCTCACCAAGAACCAAAGGGACTGTAAATGTGAGACATTGGGATGGGGGGGGGGAGGGTGGAGAGGCACAAGGGAGAGAGGAGGGGCCTGGGCGGCAAGGGGATGGCGCTGGGAGGAAATGGGGTGTGGGGGAGCTGTCTAGGAAAGAGGGCCCCATTTCCAGTTGTGGAGCCCCGTGAGGCCCAGGAGAAGCGAGCTAACAGGCCTCCTGCCCTCTCTGTGCAGTGACCTGCAACTATGGCAATGGTGGCTGCCAGCACACGTGTGATGACACGGAGCAGGGCCCCCGCTGCGGCTGCCATGTCAAGTTTGTCCTCCATACCGACGGGAAGACATGCATCGGTGGGTGAGGTCAGGGGAGAACTCAGGCTACCTTGTGATGGGGCTGGGGGGTGGGGCGGGCCCCAGGGAACTGTGGGGAATGAGGAATCCTCCCTCCCATTGCGGGCCCCAGAGGACTTGTGAGGGAATGAAGGCCCAGACAATGCCAGCTCTATGAGGAGCAACGAGACTGAAGGACATACTTGCCCTTCTTCCTCCTTGACCAGCCCGTGCCTTCCTCCACCTGCCCCGGGAGCCTTACCACACCCTCTTCCTCCCAGGAGGCCATTACCAAACTGGGAATATGATGAGCAAAGGTGCTGGCTGACCAAAGCTGAGGGAAATAAGGCAGGGGAGAGCTGGAGAAATCAGCTGATGAGGCCCTGGTTGGATGGTAGTGGGAGCTGTACCTGTCAGGACTATGTGCAGGATCCAGTGCTCTTTCCTAGAACACCCAGTGTTCTAGGAAAGAAGTGTGTGTGTGGGGGGGGGGGGATGGTCCTAGCTCCATGTGTCTCCTCTATGCTTTCCCTCCTCACTTCCGCCCCACTCCACCCCATTTCCTTCTCCCTCTGCCTCAGCTCCACCTGTAGCCTGCCCACTGCCTCACCTACTAGCTAGACCTTTTATTCCTAGGCCTTAACTCTCCCCACTAGCTACCCTAGATGAGCATAATTCCTTACAGTTAGTTCTTAATTCCCTCAGTCTTTAGGTCTTGAGTGCTGAAAAGATCCTGGAGCCATTTAGAGAACATAGGGAGAGCTATGGCTGGGGGTGAGGCTGGATCTTGGGCCAGGCAGGGGTGCGCTTGCTCCGTGGGCACAGGGTGTGCATGCAGGGCCATCCATCTGGTGGGCTTTACTGGCTGAGAAAGGAGAACTGTGGGCACAATCCTCTCTGAATTCCTGTGTGTCAGAGATGTGGCATTCAGCTTAAGAACCAACCCCCCCTACACACACATACACACACACATATTCAGAGATCTGTCACCTTCACTGAAGATATTAGGATGGGGGACAGATAAGTACTCTTACAAGATCCCCTTAGGCATCTGTTACAGAGACATGCTTCCATAATTGAGAAACCTGCATACCTTCCCTCTCTGCTCCTCAGAGACCTCAAAACATGTTTAGATCTTCATGTTGTCTTCTTGGGCTGGGCTGGTTGTTCTAGCTCCTTTCATTCTTTCCTCACAGGTCTAATTCTGCTTTCAGGCTCCCACCACCCCTTGGACGGTTAGATGTCCCTAGAGTCTTCTCCTCCACCCCTCAATATGCATGCAGCTGGAGTGGTAGTTATGGCTCTAATCCTAGCACTTGGGAGGCTAAAGTGGGAGGAAAAAGAGTTTGAGGACAGTCTTCCCCATTAAAAGACTCTCCTCTAATAAAAAAGAAAAGAGTCAGACAGCGGTAGCTCATGCTTGTAATCCTAGCTATTCAGGAGGCTGAGGTCTGAAGATTATGGTTGGAAGGCAGAGTAGGCAGGAAAGTCTATGAGACTTTTATCTACATGGTTTAAGTGGTAGAGTGTTAACCTTGAGCAAAAGTGCTCAAGGATAGCACCCAGGCCCTGAGTTTAATAAGCCCCAAGACCAGTACCAAAAAAAAAAAAAAAAAAGAAGCTGCATGTGATCTTTCCCAAAGAAAGCTGGAGGCCTACAGGTCAGAGGCCTAGATTCCTCTCTGGTTTCTTTCTGTTCAGACATGGATGCTTGACCTCTTCTCTGAGACCCCTTGGGCCCACCATGGCAAGTGATGCAGAGAGAGCGAGCGAGGGTGCTCTAGTACTTAGCGCTATGTCCTTTCCTGCTTCCTCCCTTGGCTCTGATAGCATGCGGTTCATATGCCCTACATCTCGTTCTCCCCAGCCTTGGTAGAAGGTCTCCGTTGTCTGCGCCCATGAGAACGCTCAGCTTCAGTGGCGAGGCTGAGCGGGCAGTGTGGGGAACTGAAAAGCTGGGCACCCTTTGAGATCTGGCTGTTCCTAAGACTTGCCTTGCAGGCCAGCTTTGCCCTTGGCATGCTGGGTGGTGTTGAGCCCACAATTGCCTGTCTCTGAGACTCAGTTTCTCAGGTTTTCAGTCACTGGGGGGAAGCTTGGCTTCTTTGGGGACTTCAGGTAGGAGTGTCATGAGGGTTCCAGGGCTCAAGGTATGGGGCTAGGGGTGTGTGCCTGCCGGGTGGAGGAGGCCTCGGGGAGGGAAGGCACCTGCCCAGCATCTAAACAGCTTTTTTACAATGTCAAACAGGGGAAAGGCGGCTAGAGCAGCACACCCCCCCTCAGGCCGTTTCTAATGGTAAATATGTCTGCTCTCCGCTTGCTCTCACTGGCTTGCTAGGGGAAGGGCTAACCGCTGGGGCTCCCACTAACTGCATGCCCGTCTGAGCCCAGCCCCACTGAGCCTGTCTGCCAGCAGAGCCTCCCCCACCCCCACCCCTGGCAGCCCAGGCACTAGGCCTATCTGGTGATAGCTGGCCTGGGAGCCTTTGTGTTGTCCTGCTCTTCCTCTTCTCTCCCTTTCCTTCCACTTCTGCTCGCTTCTCATCCAGCACCACCTTCTGATATCCCAGGCTCTTCCTAGCCATCTGTCCCAGCTTGCCGCCACCACACAGTCTACGACCCAGCCAGGTCCCTCTTCCCCTCCGTGCCCACTGTGCCACGGAGACGAGGGTGTGGTAGGATGAGATGCCATCCTCTCCAAGGGCCATCTTTCTTGGGTTCTTCCATTCATCAACTCACAATCAGCATCGCCCATCATGCTCCACCCCCTTCCTGGTTACGAGGGTGGCATTGGAGTTCAGGCAGACCAGTGTGTGGTATCGAGGGACGGCTGGTGCACACAAAGCAGGGGCAGCTTATGGTTTTCAGCCTGAGATCAGAGAGCTGCCCCACCCTGCTGCCCTGTCCAGCCTCGCCCATGGTCTCCCTGCTCTTCAGGCTCTTAGGTCAGAGCACTCTTGGGGGAGGAAGCTGGGCTTCTGGAACCTGAACTCAGGTTCCTTGGGGTCCTGAGAACCTCTGAGAGAGACTAAGAGGAAGAGGAGGGGCAGTCCCGCGGGGGTTGTGGACCTGGAGCTGAGCATTTGAGGGCCCAGGATGTTACCTGGGACCCGCAGCAGCGCAAGGCATGCCGTCCCAGTGGTGACAAGGAAGGAGGGCTGAGCATCAGGAACTTTCCTCATTCGTTTCCTGATACTGGGAGCTGCTATCCAAGGCTTCTTTTGGAGGCCTTGGAGTCTCTAATGGGAGAATTCTAGACACCCCCACAATAGGTCCACAGTGTCTCATGTCAGGGTCTTGAAGTGGTAGGTTTTGTTTTTGTTGCCCCTTGCGGCTCCCTGGCTGCTGGTTAAGGCTGCTTTTCTCTGGCTCGGCTAAGGGAAACCCAGCAGCTGATGGGGAGCATGAAAAGAGACCTCACTGCACTAAGACAGTTGTGTCTTGCTTTTCCTACCCTTCCTGGTCTGGATTCTTCTCCTTTGGCCTCTCCCCTCCTCTGTGCAAAGGAAAGGAACACAGCAAGGAGCCAGCCTCTCTCCAGGTGGAGCTAACAGCGGGCTGGGAGGAGTTCAGAGGGGAAGGCCTTAGTATTTGTCTTCTCCTGTAGGCTGGGAGGGCAGTCCCGGAGCTGGGATCTTTCGTTAGCAAGCTGGTCAGGGAGCCAGGGGAGCCAAATGGATGAGCGTCCTTCGACCGTCCTGGGGACCTCCAAACTCCCTCTGGCTGACCCACCCACAGGAAGAGTGTCCCACCATGACCCCAGCTACCCCACCCCCCCTGAGCTGGTGGGACAGGGAGGAGGACACCCCTGCCTGTCCCCTCTGATCCCTGGTGACCAGAAGCCCCCTGTACTTAGCTCCCATGGTTCCCTGCTTCCCCCTCCCCCGCCCTGAGCACATTCCTGCCTGACAGCCCTGGCTTGTACCTGCCTCACTGCTGTCCACCTTGTTCCAATCAAGCAGGGGGCAGGGCAGCGGGCTGCTTGGCTGCACTGGTGAGGGGCTGGGGGCTGGGAGCCTCAGCTTCACGCTGCTGCTGCTGCTGCTGCTGCTGCCACCGCCGCTGGAGCACAGGGCGGCCGCAGAGGCCTTCCCTCAGGACCCCTGTGGCCTCCACACCTTGAGGCTCAGATTCTTCTAAGTGAGTAACCCCCATCCCACCCTCTACCTCTGTCCTCCACAGAGACCTGTGCTGTCAACAATGGAGGCTGCGACAGTAAATGCCACGACGCAGCCACGGGCGTCCACTGTAGCTGCCCTGTGGGCTTCATGCTACAGCCAGACCGCAAGACCTGCAAAGGTAAGGGCTCCAAGGGGGAGGGAGCATGGACAACCCCCAGTAAGGGGCTAAAGCTGGGTCCAGAGATGGGGTCGTTAGGAATGGAACCACACCTCCTCCATCCCTGTAACAAGAGCCTAGGACGAGGCCAAGGGGTATCTGGTGTCCCATGCTAGTTCATGGGGCTCAAAGGCGCCTTCTGCCCCTCCTCTCTGTTGCGTCTCTACTCTCCTCCCTGGCTCCCTGGGTGGGGGAAGAGGGTTGCCCCAGCCTTCTTAGTCAAAGAATATATCCTTCACGTTAGTCCCACATTTGTTGGGAGGATACTTGAGTCCCCCAGCTTTTTGGGGGGTGGGGGGGTGGGGAGAGGAATTGTCAGTCATGGGGCTTGAACGCAGGGCCTAGGCACTGTCCTGGAGCTTTTCTGTTCAAGGCTAGTGCTCTACCACTTTGAGCCACAGCTCCACTTCCAGTTTTCTGGTGATTCATTGGAACTAAGAGTTTTACGGACTTTCCTGCCCAAGCTGGCTTCAACCTGTGATCCTCAGATCTCAGCCTCCTGAGTAGTGAGGATTACAGGCGTGAGCCACCTTAACTCTTTCCTCAGACCTTCCCAGTGGGCTCCCAGAAATGACCTCCCTTTATAAAGGCTGTCCAGGCCCCGGGAGAAAAGGACAATAGTCAGGTGCATGGCTACAGGGTTCGGATCCCGGCTCTGCCTCTTCCTAGTTCTGTGACCCTGAGCCACTCGTGTCCTGCCATTGTGTCTTCGTTTCCCTATCGTGTTCGCCTTGCCTTGCTGCAATGAGTGTTTTATGTACAAAGTCCTCAGGGGAGAGCTTGGCACTTGCATGTATATTTGTCGTGACAGTAATACAGAGTTGTCCATTCTACTTCTTTTCATCAGCCAGGTCTGAGGGCACAGGGAGGAGAAAAAGAGAGGGTTGCCATATTGAAAATAGTGATTCATGGGGCCCGTCCCCTAGTCACAAGGAGCTGGGGCTCCTTTGTGTCTTTTGGCCCAACAGCTGTGGGAGGAGGGGAGGGGCTGGGGCAGCAGGTCAGCCAGCCTGAGGAGGAGGGGGAGGAGGAGGAACGAGGTTTCCTGCTGGGAAGGACTGTTGACAGGTATGCCAGGAGTGACAGGCAGGGCTGCCCTCCCTGCCCCTCCCCTCCAGGAGGGGTGAGTAGCCTGGGTCCTGTCTGCCACCAGCTCCAGGAACTTGACCTCAGGAAGGAAGCTGCTCCCACCCCCCACCCCTTCCCTCTCTAGTGCTGAAAGCTGCCTCAGGCCTGAGTCTCTCCAGACTTCCCCCTGTCCAGCCCCCTGCCTGGCCCCTGCCTCCCCCATCAGCTACCCAGCCTTACCGCCTCTCCTGGAAGTCCTCCCTGCCTGGCCCTGTGCCTGACTCCTCCTCCCTGAAGGCTGCCCCTTTGCGGTGAGTCCTTTGGACTTTCCACCTCTCCTTAGCCCACTACTCAGCATTCTTGATTGGACCTTTGGCACAGGGGTAGGGGACAGGAAGGAGATAGTCCTTCTTGGGCCTAGCCATCAGCTGGAGAGCCTGCCCTGTGGAGCAAATGCCCACCTGTTCACACTGCAGAGGGTTCCCTGGTGGCCTTTGGTCTGGCTCCTGGACCCATCCTTCCCGAAGGAAGGATGTTACTAATTGCCCTGAACAAGGACAATCCAGAGTCAGGAGAGTGGCAGAGGGGCCCCAGGAGGGGGTAGACAAGGACACTCCTTGCTTTTCTGTGTCCCTGGAAGGAAGGGATCTACCAACTTCATTCTATTCTCTTCTGCCCTGCTTCCCCAGACATAGACGAGTGCCGGCTGAACAACGGGGGCTGCGACCATCTTTGCCGCAATACAGTGGGCAGCTTCGAATGCAGCTGCAAGAAGGGCTACAAGCTGCTCATCAATGAGAGGAACTGCCAGGGTAAGCAGACCTGGGCCACCATGTTGAAAGGCCCGGGAGAGGTTCTTCCCCAGATAGCTTCAAGTCAGCCAGAGGCCACAGCCTGAGAAACTCAGTAGATGCTGTTTATAGAGTCTCCAGAGGCAGCAGCGCCATGCTGCAGATTGCAGACAGTCCCGCTTCTTTCTGGCGGGCCAGCTACACACTGGCACACACTGCATGATGAGGGCTGGGGCACAGATTTCTCTCTGGTCGATACCCTGGGCCCAATGTGGCCTGCCCAACTACACAGATCCAAGGACTCCAAATAGAATGGGCACAGGTTGGCACTGCTCAGTCATCCATCTGTGACCGGGTCATGAGTGGGAGGAGTCAACTTCAGGGGTGCCTCGCCTACACATGGGTCCAGTGACCCAAAACAGCTTCAGTAACTTACATCCTATCTCTTGCAGATATAGATGAGTGCTCCTTTGATCGAACCTGTGACCACATTTGTGTCAACACGCCAGGAAGCTTCCAGTGTCTCTGCCATCGTGGCTACCTGCTATATGGTGTCACCCACTGTGGTGGTAAGCTAACAAGCTAGCACCCCTCTCCCCAGTCACCTCAGCCTTTCTTACCTCCTTACCCTCCAGCTGACTGAGACCCCATGTTATTGGCTTATGGCTGTGGGCAATCCCTGGCTGCACATGCCCTGTCTGTATCTGCCATGATGAAATGAAAGGAGTTTAGGCAGCCTTGAAGACCAGTTTTGGAGAACAGCATCCCGTCTCCAAACAGCCTGTCTTCTGCCCCATGACTCACCCCAAACTCCCATCCTCAGCTCACCAACAGCCCCACCAGTAGGGAGAAGTGAGAGACTTTAAAAGGCTAGTCAGTGTGGACCCTAATCCGTGAATCTTCTGACTGAGGATAGAGATAGGGGAGGAAGTTTGAGTTCCTCTCAGGCCACAAAACGCTGAATTTTTGTTGTTGTTTTAAGAATATTTTCGGCCGGGCGCTGGTGGGTCATGCCTATAATCCTAGCGACTCAGGAGGCTGTGATCTAGAGGATCGCAGTTCAAAGCCAACCCAGAAAGCCCACGAGACTCTTATCTCCAATTAACTCCCAGAAAATCCTAAGTGGTGCTGCGTCTTAAAGTGATAGGATGCTAGCCTTGAATGTGAAAGCTCAGGGACAGCACCTAAGGCCCTGAGTTCAAGCCCCCACCAACAAAAAAAAAGGAGTATTTGAGTGTGAGGGAAGATGTGATATTGTCCAAAAAGAATATTTAACATGAGATTTACCCTCTTAACATTTGTTTTGCCTGTCCTGGGACTTGAACTCAGGGCCTGGGCACTGTCCCCGAGTTTCTTTTGCTCAAGGATAGCACTCGACCACTTGAGCCACAGCACTACTTCTGGCTTTTTCTATTTATGTGGTACTGAGGAATTGAACCCAGGCTTTCATGCATGCTAGGCAAGCACTCTACCACTGAGCCATATTCCCAGCCCCCTCTTAACAAAACTTTAAGTGTAAGTATAAGGTATTGTTAACCATAAGGAGATCTTTAGAATGTGCTCCTCTTGCATGACCCAGGATGCCTGGAACTCTAACCAAAGGTTCTGGTTCCCTGCCGATACCCTGACTTCTCCTTCCCAAGCACCACAGTTGATTGTCTTCCTGCCCCTTCCCCCAGATGTGGACGAGTGCAGCATCAACCGAGGAGGCTGCCGCTTTGGTTGCATCAACACCCCTGGCAGCTACCAGTGTACCTGTCCAGCCGGCCAGGGCCGCCTGCACTGGAATGGCAAAGATTGTACAGGTGCGCACCGCCCTCTGCTGGCAGGATGTGGCACCGAAATTTCAGAAGAGGGGTGTAGTCTTAGAGAGCCGAGTACCAGCTAGGATATGGGGTTGGGGGAAATGGTTGAAAAAATGTAATTATCTGTGTTAAGATGCACAGTTTCTGGTGAATAATCCCTTCGTCAGTCTCCATGGCGTAACTGTAGCTCTGCATGTAGCTGATTCTCTTCCACCAGATTCACCAACTGAGGGAGAGGGTGGGAAAGGGATGCGTGCCACCCTCGTCAGGCCTCTCTCCCCCTCCTAGAGCCAGTGAAGTGTCAGGGAAACCCTGGAGCCTCAAAGGCCATGCTCAGCTGCAATCGATCTGGCAAGAAGGACACCTGTGCCCTGACCTGCCCCTCTCGGGCCCGGTTTTTGCCAGGTACTGGGAGGAGGGGATTGAGGGGGTTGGGACCGAAGGGAGAAAATGGCAGTGCCTCTGTTCCCTTGAGATTCCTCCTGCCAGTGGGACTTCAGGGGCAGCTCAGAGTTGTGATAGGCTCCTTTTCTCAGAGTCTGAGAATGGCTTCACAGTGAGCTGTGGCACCCCGAGTCCTAAGGCTGCCCCAGCCCGAGCCGGCCACCCCGGGAATAGCACCAGTTCCAGCCACTGCCATGGTGAGCACTAGCACAGACCACTCTGACCTCTTCTGCCGACCTCTTTCTCTCCGCTCGTCTCCCAGCCTTGCCTTGTCCCTGGGTCTCCGACATTGCTCTCATTCTGCAGCCTCGCTGCCTCTAACATCATCATCTCACCTTCAGGCTACGCCTCTGCTTTAGTGCCCAGCTTTGCAACACCTTCCACAGCAGCCCCCATCCCAGGGGCCCCCTTCCCGACACCATGCTGAGCTTCTGCCATCCCTCTAGAGGCTGCAGCCCTGTCGGTTAAACAGCGGGCCTCCTTCAAGATCAAGGATGCCAAGTGCCGTTTACACCTGCGAAACAAAGGCAAACCGGAGGAGGCCAGCAGAGTCCCAGGGCCAGGTCTGCACTGGGGACCTCACCCTGACGGGCTGTCCAACTACCAAACCCTCACCCCCCCCTCCCCCGCCCCGGGCCCCCTGCTTAGTGAGATCTCATTTAGAACACTCCTCCCCACCCTGCAGCATCTTGCACTGTGCGCAGAGCAGGTGGAAGCAGTTGTAGACAGAGGGCCCAAAGAAGTCCCAAGCTATTTCCCTCCAACTAGTCTCCCAGACTCAGGGAACCCTGAGAGTTGCATTCAGAGGTCAGGGGAGGCCTGTCTGGATTGAGGAGAGGAAGTGAGGAAGAACTTCCCCTATCCCTGGGACGGGGGGGGGGGGGGGGGGGGGGGGCGGGGGGGGGCGGGGGGGGGCAGAGATGGAAGGGGAGATCCCAGATGCCCTGGCTAACGAGGCCTCTCCCCCAGGTGGCGCCCCCTGCTCTGACTGCCAGGTTACTTTCATCCATCTCAAGTGTGACTCCTCTCGGAAGGGCAAGGGCCGGAGGGCTCGGACCCCTCCAGGCAAGGAGGTCACCCGACTCACCCTGGAACTGGAGGCAGAAGTGAGAGCTGAAGAAACCACAGGTAGAACTTGGGTGGAGGGCTGCAGGGGAGGGTAGAAGTGGGGAAAACCACAGGCCTCAACAGCCAAAGGAAGGGCCAGGGCCTTACACTAGGGGCAGACCCTGTGTCAACACTGGCCCTCTTACCATGCCCCTCCCAGTCTCCACCTTTGCTTTCTTGCCCACCCGCTCATGCCAGTCTTCTTTTTGTCAGTCATGGGACTTGGCGCTGTCCCTGAGCTCTTCAACTCAAGGCAAGCCTGCTACCACTTGAGCCACAGAGCCATTTCCGGTTTTCTGGTGGTTCATTGGAGATGAGTCTCACAGACTTTCCTGCCCAGGCTGGCTTTGAACTGCGATCCTCAGATCTCAGCCTCCTGAGTAGCTAGGAGGACAGGCGTGAGCCACCGGCACCCGGCTCATGCCAGGCTTTCTTTCCAACTCATACTATGACCCACCACTAGCCAGCTGCGGGTTGCCCTGCCTCCGCCAGCGGATGGAACGGCGACTGAAAGGATCCCTGAAGATGCTCAGAAAGTCCATCAACCAGGACCGCTTCCTGCTGCGCCTGGCTGGCCTTGACTACGAACTAGCCCACAAGCCCAGCCTGGCAGCCGGAGAGCGCGCAGAGCCAGGGGAGGCCTGCAGGCCCGGGCAGCACCGCGCTGGGGCCAAGTGTGGTAAGGCAGCTTTGTGGAGGAGCAGGGGAGTAGGAAAGGCCCAAAGTAGGGGCCTCCCATCATGGGAGAGAGCAGGACCCTTCCTTCGTGTCTCCAGTGCAATTCTCAAATTATGAGGCAGCCAAGACCCTTCTACCCATTGTCCACCTTTCCTTGGTCCCAGGCTGAACTCATGAGATACCAGGCAGGGCCAGCACATAGACTTGACCTATTTCTCAAAGCACAATTCTGTTCATTCCCTAACGAGAGGAAATCTCCCGAATCTGAGGGAGCGGGAAGGGGAGTCCTAGGCCTGGGGGGCGGGAAATGGGGGGGTGGGTGGCTAGCGCGGCCGACTCTCCCTCAGTCAGCTGCCCGCAGGGAACGTATTACCACGGCCAGACGGAGCAGTGTGTGCCATGCCCAGCGGGCACCTTCCAGGAGAGAGAAGGGCAGCTCTCCTGCGACCTTTGCCCTGGGAGTGATGCCCACGGGCCTCTTGGAGCCACCAACATCACCACGTGTGCAGGTGCCAGGGGAACAAATGATGCAGAGTGGGTTAGGGCGGGCACTGGGGCGCCCATGGGCACGGGATTTCCCCCAGGGCAGGCCCAAGCTCCAGGCCACTCACCTAGTTGACATCCTATTTGTATGCTCTGTCCCTCAAGACTGGGTGACCCCATGGGGGGTGACTCAGGACCATCCCATCAGAGTTGGGCCCTTGGTTTCATTGCAGGTCAGTGCCCACCTGGCCAACACTCTGCAGATGGGTTCAAGCCCTGCCAGCCATGTCCACGGGGCACCTACCAACCTGAAGCAGGCCGGACCCTGTGTTTCCCATGTGGGGGTGGCCTCACCACCAAGCATGAGGGGGCTGTCTCCTTCCAAGACTGTGATACCAAAGGTGAGTGAGGTAGTCATCCTGCTAGGGGACTCCCTGACCCCAGCTGCTACCAGATAGTCTTTTTTTTTTTTTTTGTCAGTCGTGGAGCTTGAACTCTGGGCCTGGGCGCTGTCCCTCAGCTCTTCAGCTCAAGGCGAGCTCTCTACCACTTGAGCTACAGCGCCACTTCCGGTTTTCTGGCAGTTTATTGGAGATAGGAGTCTCACGGTCTCTCCTGCCTGGGCTGGCTTTGAACCGCGATCCTCAGATCTCAGCCTCCTGAGTAGCTAGGATTACAGGCGTGAGCCACCAGCGCCCAGCCTACCAGATAGTCTTGAGACACCCCCTCCCTCCCAGGCCCTGCCATGCAAGCAAGAGCACAGTGACATCGCCCCTCTACCCCTCCAAAAAAAGAAAACCATCCAGGTCCTGAGAATGTTATCCCACCATCCTTTCCAGACCATGAAGGGCCCATCTGCCCGAGCAAGCACACCAGCCTACTCCTAAAAGCCATCCTGGCCATCCCTCAGGCCAAGCCTGGGGATAAAAATGCTTAGCCTCCAGGTGCCAGTGGCTCACACTTGTAATCCTAGCTATTCAGGAGGCTGAGATCTGAGGATTGCAATTTGAAGCTAGCTGGGGCAGCAAAGTTCATGAAAGCCTTATCTCCAATAAACTACCAAAAAGCCAGAAGTGGCACTGTGGCTCAAGTGATAGAATGCTAGCTTTGAACAAAAGAAGCTCAGGAACAGAGCCCAGGCCCTGAGTTCAAGCTCTAGAACTGGGACCAAAACAACAACAAAAAGAAAAGCAAAAACACCTTAGCAGCCACTGTCTCCTCTGCTTTGGAGAGCTGTGATATATACCCCTGCATACCACAAGTGAGTTCCTAGATAGATTAGGCATCATGTCTAGTATCTAAAAGGAAAGAATTGGTGTTGGAGCCAACCACTCTAGAAAGCTTTGCTGAGCTTAAATTCTGACAAGAAGGATTGGAACTCTGGGGGGGAAAAAAAAACTTAGGCGCTTTTAATTTATTTGATGAGCCATCCTGCCATCCTGCCTATCCATCCCATGCCCCAGAGTGCCTCCCTGCCCTCCTCACCTCCTATTGTCCACTTGCCTGCAGTCCAGTGCTCTCCAGGGCACTACTACAACACCAGCATCCATCGGTGTATCCGTTGTGCCATGGGCTCCTACCAGCCAGACTTCCGTCAGAACTTCTGCACTCGCTGTCCTGGAAATACAAGCACTGACTTTGATGGATCTACCAGCGTGGCCCAGTGCAAGAGTATGTGGCGGTCTGAGCTGTGGAACAGGGGGTAGGGACCTGGGACCTATGGACATGGAAAGGAAGGAGTGGCAAACCAACAGGAAACAGGGCTGGTAGGTGGATAGACACAAAAGCCCCGCCTCTCCCCAACCTACTTGCTCTCTAGGTCAGTTGCTGGGTTGAGCCTTGTAGCCTCCATTCCCTGGAGATGGGTAACAGGGAGGAAGAGCTAAGTAGAGCAAGAAGGAACAGGTACTTAAAGGGCAGGCAGGAAGGTAAACTCAGAATGTGGAGAGTGGACAATGAACTGGGCTAGTGGCTGCCCATGTGTCTGAACCTCCTCCACTTCAGAACTCTTCCATTTTCTTCAATCTAGTTCCCCCACTGACTTGCCTTCTCTTTCTTGCTCTATCCACTGGGGCTTGGCTGCAGATCGCCAGTGTGGTGGGGAGCTAGGTGAGTTCACTGGCTATATCGAGTCTCCCAACTACCCGGGCAACTACCCAGCCGGCGTGGAGTGCATCTGGAACATCAACCCCCCACCCAAGCGCAAGATTCTTATCGTGGTACCCGAGATCTTCCTGCCATCTGAGGACGAGTGTGGGGACGTCCTCGTCATGAGAAAGAACTGTGGGTGGCTGCAGAGCTGGGCCAGGGAAGGGCAGTCGGAATCTGGTTGGGAGAGAGTGAGTTTGGTACAGGAAGAGCTGGGGCCTCAAAGTCAGGGACTCACGGGAGAGAGATGGTGAGGGACGCTTTAGGGAGAGAAGGGCACGCGAGCAGAAGGGAATGAATGGCAGGGTTCAGTGGAGAGGAGGAGAGAGGAAAGCCAGCGCTGCAACCCAATGCCATCAGTGTGTGACTTTCTAATCCTAGCTCTATTTGCCATTCTGCTCATTTAAAATGTCAGAGTTCATACACTGTGTGAGTACTTGGCTATCAGTAGTGGAAGGAACCCAGGAGACCATGGGAGAGGGGTTGGGGGGGGGGTGTTGGGGTATATGTACATATTTGGGTGGAGATTTCACCCATATCCACAGCAGGGCTTGGTTAACCTGGCCTGCTGCTCTGCTGATCAGCTGCTTCCCTTGCCAGCCTCCCCATCCTCCATCACCACATATGAGACCTGCCAGACCTATGAGCGGCCCATCGCCTTCACTGCCCGTTCCCGGAAACTCTGGATTAACTTTAAGACGAGTGAGGCCAACAGTGCCCGTGGCTTCCAGATCCCTTATGTGACCTATGACGGTGAGCAGGGGCAGGAGAGGGGAGGTGGATGTGGGAAGGGAGGCTTGGGGTCTCGGGAGAGGAGTAGGGGAGCAGGTAGAGCCCCCACAACCATGGTGCCTTTGCAGAGGACTATGAGCAGCTGGTAGAAGACATTGTGCGGGATGGCCGGCTCTATGCCTCTGAAAACCACCAGGAGATCTTAAAGGCAAGTAAATATTAACAGTGAAGGCTATGTTGATATTAATAATGTGAAGTCACAATGCTCAGGTAACGTGCAGAGTGCCAAGATGAGTATATATATTGTGTGTGTGTGTGTGTGTGTGTGTGTGTGTGTGTGTGTGTGTGTGTGTGTGTGTGTGTGTGTGTGTGTGTGTGTGTGTGTGTGTGTGTGTGTGTGTGTGTGTGTGTGTGTGTGCCAGCTCTGGGGCTTAGACTCAGAACCTGGGCACTGTCCTTGTGCTTTTTTGCTCAGAGCTCTGCCATTTGAGCCACAGGTGTACATCCGGGCTTTTGGTAGTTTATTGAAGATACGAATCTCATGGAATTTCCTGCCCAGGCTAGCTTTGAACTGTGATCCCCAGATCTCAGCCTTCTGAGTAGCTGGCATTACAGGCCTGAGCTGCCAGCACCCAGCAAAACTACAGTCTTAACTTTATAGCTATTCTTCATATGTTATTGCTGGATACAAGAGTTGTTTTTATTATTAATAACAATATTATCAAAATAAAAGTGTGATGACAAAAATCACTTGGAACTTAAAGACTTCAAGGAACATATACTTTGCAAATGCTTTTTTCAAATTAAATGAATCTGGGTGCCATGGCGCAAACCTGTGATCGCAGCTATTCAGGAGGCAGAGGTGGCAGCATCATTTAAGTCCAGGAGCAACACAGACTGGTATGAAACAAAAAATCAAATATGTCATAGTACTGCAGTTTGTGAAGAAGTGCAGTCCCATACCCAGCCTCCTTGTGCAGGAATGCAGTGGAAGGAGCCTGGAACCTGGCCAGCTTTGCATGTCTCGGGGCATGTCATGGACAGGTCAGGACAGGCTATAAGAAAAGACCTGAGTGAGCGGCTAGGAATGTGGCTTAGTGGTAGAGTGCTTGCTTAGCATGCATGAAACCCTGGGTTTGGTTCCTTAGTGCCACAGAAAAGGCTGGAAATGGCGCTGTGGCTCAAGTGGTAGAGTGCTAACCTTGAGCAAACAAAGCTCAGGGACAGTGTCCAGGCCCTGAGTTCAAGCTCCAGGGCTGGGAAAGGAAGGAAGGAAGGAAAAAGGAAAGGAAGGGAAAGGAAAGGAAAGAGCTGAGTAAAGTCAAGGGGAGTTAAGGAGGAATATTCCAAGCTAAGGGCCATGACACAGTTAAGAACCTCAAGAAGGCCAGGATGGCACTTCAGAGCAAGAAAGAGTAGAGAGAAAAACAAATGACACATAGTCCTCCAATGTGCCATGCAAGAGGCTCAGCTTTTACTCTGAATGATAACAGAAATCAGAGGGGTTGAGGATATAACTCAGTGGTAAAGTGAAGGGGTGTAGCAAGGAGATTCAATCCTCAGCACCAGAGAGTACAAATGAAAATAAAGGATATGGGTTCCAGCAGCTCACACCTGTAATCCTAGCTACTTAGGAAGCTGAGATCTGAGGATCATGGTTCAAAGCCAACTTGGGCAGGAATAAATAAACGTCTAAGAAAAAGCTGAAAGTTGGAAGTGGCGCTGTAGCTCAAGTGGTAAAGTGCTTGCCTTGAGCTGAAGAATTGAGGGACAGCACCCAGGCCCAGAGTTCAAGCCCCACAACTGACAAAAAAAAAAAAAAAAAAAAGCTGAAAGTGGCACTGTGGCTCAAGTGGCAGGGCACTAGCTTTGAGTACAAAGAGGTTTAGAGACAGCACCCAGGCCCAGAGTTCAAACCCCAGGACTGGCAGAGAGACAGAGACAGAAACAGAGAGAAAGAGAGAGAGAGAATAAGCCAGGTGCCGGTGGCTCACAATCCTAGCTAGTCAGGAGGCTGAGATCTGAGAATCATGATTCAAAGCCAGCCCAGCAGGAGTGTTCATCAGACTCTTATTTCCATTTAAACACAAAAAGCCGGAAGTGTTGTATGGCTCACAGGGTAGAGCACTAGCTTTGATCAAAGGAGCTCAGGAGTAGTGCCTAGCTCTTGAGTTTGAGCCCTAGTACTACTCTCCCCCCTTCCTCGCCCCCCCTGCAAAAATAAATAAATAAATAAATTGTATCCAGTTGTGAAGGCACATGCCTATAATCCCAGCTACTTGAGAAGCTGAAGTGTTGAGATAAATTAACCCCAGGAGTTCAGGACTAGCCTGGACCACATGACAGAACCTTGACTTGGAAAAAAAAAATTAAAAAAGAAAGAAGGGCAGGAAGGAGCCAAAGAAAGGAAAGGAGGAAGGGAGAGAGCAGAAAAAGCGTTTCAAGTAGGAAAAGAGTGAACTAATTAACCACCCCAAGAGTCACTCTGGCTATTGCAGGGAGTACAGTCTAAGAGAGCAAGGAGGCCAGTTAGGAGGCTGGCAATGGTCCAAGTGAGAGATGATGACAGCTTGGCCCAGGGTGGCAACTGTGGAGATGCCGACAGAGGCCAGACCGGGGTTATATTATAACTGTAGAGTCAACAGATTCGTTGTAGTTGTGGGTGAGAAAGAAGAGTCAAGGATGGCTCCACAGATTGGGGGCTTAAGCAGTAGAAGGCTGGAGCTACCAGTGGGATTCTAAGAGCAGAGGGTGGGGCTGGTGGTCCAGAGCTGCCTCTGCATAGGTTTGGTGTGCTATGCCCAGAGACACAGAGAGGGGCTGCTGGGTGGAGGCTGGTGTTCCTGTTTCCCATCCATGACTCGGAGCTGACACTACTGCCTGCCACCCTCTGCAGGACAAGAAGCTAATCAAGGCCTTCTTTGAGGTGCTGGCCCATCCCCAGAACTACTTCAAGTACACAGAGAAACACAAGGAGATGTTGCCAAAATCCTTCATCAAGCTTCTCCGGTCCAAAGTTTCCAGCTTCCTGAGGCCCTACAAATAGTGCCCACAGCCCAAGGACTCAGGTTTTGGAGTCCCCAGACTCCTCAGCCCTCAGAGCTGGCAGCCCCCAACCTTAGACAAGGAACTCTCTCCTCTCTTTGGAGGAAAACTATCACTACACAGACCAGGCACTCTCCCTTTTTGTCTTTCTCACTTCCTTCTCTCTTCCTCCCTTACTCTCTCCCTCTTCTTTCTTCCTCTCTCTCTCTCTCCCTCCCACCCCCTCTCTTTCTCCTTCTCCCCCCTCTGCCCCCACACTGGTCTTCTAGGGAATGGGGATGGGTAAAAAGGGCTTCTTGCCATAAAGGGTTGTGCCTTGCCAGTCAGGAGGCAGAACATCCCCTACTGCGCTTCCCAGGGTTTTTGCCAAAGAAGCCTTTAACTGGCTTAATGCCAGCACGTCTGCAGGGCACACAGTTTGAGCCCTGGGCTGTCCACATAGCTGGCTTTCTTGTCTATACAGCTCCTCACTTTGTTCTGCTGCATGTCTGTCTGCCTGGGATTTACTCCACAAGGGTTTACAAATGGCCCACGCCCCTGGGCTGATGGACACTGGCCGAATGAGGACTTGCAGGACATTACCATGTACGCCAGTGCCCTGCTATAGCTCCAGAGAGAAAGACTACAGCTCTGCCAGACAGAAAGCAGCTTTTAAATCATTGCCCAAAAGAATAAAGAAAGAAAAAAGGAAAGATAAAGCAAGAAAGAAAGAAAGAAAGAAAGGAAGGAAGGAAGAAAGAAAGGAAGGAAGGAAAAGGAAGAAGAGAAAAGAAGGAAGGAACATATTATCTAAAGGGTTAGACTACAGAACAATTGGAAGCCAGCCTCCAACACTAATAGCTTTTCTTGTCTTCCCTGCCCAGCCAAGCCCTCATCCCACCTGAGTGCTCCCTGGGGGAGCCTATTCCCCTTACTTAAATGTTGTCCTTAAAGAAACCTGGCTATTGCTTGGCCCCAGCCTGGACCTTGCCCCACAGCTGTCTTTCCCTTGTAGCTCCATGTGGCCTGTGGGTTCCACCAAAGAAGACCCCACTCTGCAGCCGGCCTGGAGCTGCCTACCTCTGGCCTTGGGCAGTGGGCAGCAAGAGGAGTATGTGTGCACTTGGCGAGCCTCCTGCCCACCCTGTCCACATCTAATAAGTGCAATCATTTTGAGTCTTTCTGTGTTGTCTAGAGGGAGGGTTTTTGTTTTCTGGGTTTTTTTTTGTTTGTTTGTTTGTTTCTTTTTCCTTCTTAGAACAACCCTATTTATAGCTGCCCAAGAAAGAAGAGGTGATAGGAATGGAAGAATATCCATTTTGAATCTCATGAACCTTGAGTGCTGGAGCATCTCATCTCTGACCCACCAGTGGCCACCTCCTGTGCTAGCACCCTCAACTGGGCTAACCTGGGGCTATAGCTCAGAGGTATCTGCTATGTAGACAGTAATTCTGGAGACCCGATGGAACAGAAAAGAAAGGGACTGTTTGCTAAACCAATCCTGCTTCCCTATGCCACTCCAGGACTTCAGCATGACCCTTGAGATTGTACGGGCAGGTAGGATTGGTCAGTGACTCTATTGCAAGGAGGGGAACCTCATGTCGTCCTGCTTTGATCGTGATTTCCTGGTGTGCTCACGGAAGAGGACCAGGCCAAATGCCCAGGGACAGGCCAACTCAGGTTCCCAGGCCAGACAAAGCAGTATGTAGTAACTAAGAACAGGGTGGCTACCCAGGCATGAAGCTGGTGCTGTGCCTGGCACTTGTCACTTCCCACTTAGAGTTCACTTCAAGCCTGTCTCTTGAAGGAAGAAGAATCAAGTCAATGCTCAAACTTAGATCCTGCACACTCTACCTTGAATCCAACTGCTGCCTGTAGAATCCTTTTCCATTTGCTCCTTGTAGTTCTCCCAAAGCTGTGGTCCTAGTCAAAGGCTATTGATGATTCCACAGGGCCAGTTAACTGTCCCAGGCTACTGCTCCCCAGGAGAATTGACAGGAAATAAACGGGCCCCTCTCCCCTTCCTCCAATCAGAAACATTCACTGGCTAAAACACAGGCCTTAGTGATAGGCAGCCAATGGCAGAGTTCCATTTCTTGACATGTTAGTTGGGAGTGGAGATCTTCTGTCTTTGTCTCCCCTGGTACTCATTGCAAAGATGTTAAATGGCTACATCCAAGCTGGGGAAATGGTCATTTAGTATAGATGGCTGCACTTTTCAAAAAGCACCATGAAAACTGAATTAACTTTGACCATCCTAATTCTACTAGAAGCATTTTTGTTCCTCTTTCCCTACCATTTTGCTTCTCTCGTGGAAAGCCAAACTGAGGCTGTGTCCCAATGTATGCTTTTAGAGTTTGGCTTCTCTTTTCTCCCTCTTTTTTTCCTGTCATACACCATACATACACATAAAAATATATATTCTTCAGTCATTTATGCCATGGCTTGTGGAAAGGGTAGATTACTAGGTTCTTAACTGATATCAAGACAGACCTAGATGAGTAGATGGAAGATTTGCTCTCGTCCAACAAGTATAATTTAGATGATCCAAGTTGGGCATTAAGAATCCAGGCACAGCTGCTGCTGAACCTAAAGAGGAAACTGGTCCTAGGCATCAGACTAGAGGATAAGTGGACTGGATGAGGAGTCAACACTCAGGGACTCTAGGCTTCACAGACAGATGAAAAAGATATTTCCACTGGGAAGTGAGGGGAGTGGGAAGATGGTGTAAATAGGAATCCTTCATGAGCTAACCCAGGGGCCTTCCTGCAGGATTGGGTGCTTGTAGGGTCATGAGACTGTGGGGCCTCATTGTACAAAACCTGTCCTGATTGAGTCTGAGCATGGGAAGCTATTTCCATGAGGGCTCCAAGCGTCAAGTGAATTGGAAAGTGATCCAAGTGTTTTGGAAAGGCACTTATATCCTCTGAAGCACTGCAACATCGGTAATTCTCCACCTCTCCCTCTGTATGATCAGGCCAAGCCCATCCCTAAACCTGAGGGAATTCTCAGTCGGGAGAAAACTGTCCAGAGCCCAGACTTGAGCTGCCCACCCCAGGCCTAGAGATCCCCAAAGGCTGAACACTGAACTGTGACTGCTCAGATTCCTCCCAGGATTTGGTCAATTTGTGGTGATGGAAATGCAAATTTCAGTAATACAATCCTGATCTTTGGCCCTAATGAAACTTTTTTTTTTTAATCTGAGAAGTGTTCTCCATATGCATGTTTGAGTTAACTGGAATGAGTTAGGAGGTCATTATGTCAGGATGTCAAAAAAAAAAAAAAAAAAAAAAACATGGAGCATGCAAACATATGCATCTGCTGCTTAACTACATTCTGACAGTCTCAAACTAAGGGAACAAGACAGTGTGACTGACCATAGGCAGAAACAAACTGCCTGTTTCTTTAGCACGAAAAAAAGTGAAAGGAAACACCTTTAAACTTGACCTTTCCCAAAGGTAGTACAGGCTGTCCTTGGGCCATTATTCGGACTAGGAATCATGTTGGAAAAAATATAACAAGAGGGACAGAAGTCCTGTTCTGTTATCAGCAGATATCTAGATGGCACAGAACTACTGTGCAAGTTGAACTGAAATTTCAGAGAATCATGTGGAAGGCTTATTTTCTAACAGAGAAAAAATTGTGTTTATATCTGCCCTCCACTTCTGCCAATATAGCAAGCATCTCTTTACACAATCAACAGTAAACAACAAATGATGCAGTTCCTAGAGTATTTTGCACTTGGGGAAAAATATGTATCTGAACTTGTAAAAACGCAATGTTTGGATTTTGTATTGTCTTTTTTATTATTATTATTATTAAAATACTAAATGAAACTCTTCTGCCTGCCATCTTTTTCCTCTCCCAGTAGCTTATCCTAGAACTGTAAACAGAGGAGCAAGTGTCTTCTGACTTCCAGCTACGACTTAACTTTTTTCTTTTTAGGTTCATCTTATTTCTGATTTTAGAACTTAAAAGGCATGTGTGTGTGTGTGTAATTTTTATTTTTTTTCATGGGTATTACTGGGGTTTGAACTCAGAGCCTTACCCTCTTGCTTAGCTATTTGCTCAAGGCTGGCACTCTACTACTTGAGCTACAGCTTTGCTTCCAGCTTTTGGCTGGTTAGTTGGAGATAAGAGACTCAGCTTTATAGTCTCTACAAAGTATTTAAAATGAAAAATTCATGTGTGAACTTGGGGAAAATAAGGGATATACAGCTCCTCAGAATCTCATTAGACTCATGACTTCAGACAATGGGAGAGGGATGAGCCAACTAATTATGATCTGCAGGGATTTTATTTATTTATTTAGCCAGTCCTGGACTCAAACTCCGCACCTGGGCACTGTTCCTGAGTTCCTTTTTGCTCAAGGCTAGTGCTCTACCACTTGAGCCACAGTGCTACTTCTGGCTTTTTCTGTGATTAATTAGAGAAAATAGTTTTACATGCTTTCCTGCCCAGGCTAGCTTCAAACTGAGATTCTCAGATATCAGTCTCCTGAGTAACTAAGCTTACAGGGGTGAGCCACTGGTGCCCAGCTGCAGGAATGTTTTACTATGGACAAAGGTGGTGGTGGAAGGTTGAAGGGACAAACTTAGGTACACTGGGTCCCATTTCCTTCTGTACAATTCATGCTGTGAGATAAAGCTACTTCATCCTTTACTGTTGTCTATTAAAAAAATCATTTGTCAAACTTCCACCAAAAAGGAACTGAAAGAGCACCATAGTGATCAGATTGTTTGTTTTTGTGCTGAGGTCTTTAAGGATTATTAACCATGAGAATGAGCCATCAACTGCCACTAAGCCTGTAAACCGAGAAACTGATGAGAACTTCCAGTTCCAGCTCCACCCCTACAAATGCTGTGCCAAAACAGATAAGATCAGAACAGTAAGGTGTAAGATTGGGGAGAGGGGCCAGGGTGTTCTAGTTAAGCTTGTCAGACAAAAGAATAGGATCCGTACCTCCAAACCCCCAAAGGCATCTTAAACTGCTCTAGGCCTCAAGTCCAGTATATTGTCAATGTTGCTAATTTATTCCCTTCAACACTTATTTTTAATGCAGTGGGAATAAGGGGTATAATCCCAGCACTCAAGAGGCTGAGGCAGGAGGATTGGGAGTTGAAGGCTAACCTAGGCTACATATACCATACGCATTATATATAATATATAGTTGATCACATATCAAGAAAAAAATTTTTT